AGTATTTAATTCGAAACACAGCTTGTAATATTTGGTTTTAATTTGGCTTTTATCGGGGTTTATTTTCTGTATTTTTGTATTTTGTAATTTTTTGTATTTTGTGTTTATTATTTGTTTTTAATATGCTGTGAACCGCCCTGAGTCCTATGGGAGAAGGGCGGTATATAAATTAAAATAATAAATAAATAAATAAATAAATATAAGATCATCTTATCTTACGCTCCCCTTGGGGTAGCTCAGTGATCTGCCTACTCTTTTTACTGAAATCCCAAGATCACATTGCCAAAATCTGTGACACAACTTTCAAAGGGCTGGTTTTCCTTTCCTTTTTTTCTCTCTTCAAAACAGCCTCGCTTTTAAGAATCTAGTTTTGCACAGTTCACGGCTTCGTAGCCATGCCTGGTCACCGAGTGCGGGAAACGTCCAATGAGATCGGTACCTCGGTCATGCAGAGCTAGGAGGACCCGTTCGTAGAGGCAGGCTCTGTAGAGATCTCCAGGGATAGGCTTTCCCGCCCAGCAATCTAGCTCCAACTTCTCTGGGTCAGGAGCATGGGGGTCTGGCTCCGCCAAAATGTAACGGTACCCATCCTTATTAAAAGGGTGCTCCAGCGGATAGCCATGGGGTGGAAGGCGCTGAGCAGAGAACAGAGGATCACTGTGGAAGCAAAAGGCATCAGTTAGTGGCAGATCTCTCTCAGCCTTCCGAGCAATGAAAGAGAGAGGAATAGATCCTTTGGATTCATCAGTCTTGTTCACCATCGTAATTTTAATTTATTCCTTCCCTTCTAGGCGTACCACAATGTGGCCAAGTATCTAAGGCAGGGGTAGGCAACCTTGGCTCTTTTATGACTCGTGGACTACAACTCCCAGAATTCCTGAGCCAGCATGGCTCAGCTTGGAAACCTCTCCCTTTCCCCTCAGCATGGCTGGCTCAGGAATTCTGGGAGTTGAAGTCCACGAGTCATAAAAGAGCCAAGGTTGCCTACCCCTGATCTAAGGTAAAGCAGAAATAATAAAAACACGAACGCTGCCAAAGGTGATTACATGATCCAGGGACTCTGCGGCCATAATTATGATCCAGCTGCCACTGAACTTTGATCGCATGACCAAAGGGAGGCTGCCAATGGTCGTAAATGTGGGATACGGTCGCAAGACGGCTTTTTTTCAGCGCTCTTGTAACTTTGAACAGCCGCTAAACAAATGGTTGCAAGTCAGGACCTACCTGCACACAGAAGGATATGAATTATATCTCCTTTTCCACCCTTTCCTTATCCACCAAATTCTCAGGACTTACCTCCGCGTTTTCTTGGCTGTTCCTGTAGTTCCTCCCTCTTGCTGCTTGCGTTTGGCCCCCCTTCCTTTCCCACTGGTTCCTGGCACCAGACCCCCTTGGGAAGAGAAACACCACAAACATGTGTCAGCTACTGATATGATTGGGGAACTGGCCCTAATCCCCTTGAGTATCTCTGAACCTCAACAAAGGTTCTGCTTCCAGGTGGAAAGCAGAATCTCACTGTTCTAAGAAAACAGCGTACGTTTGGTTCCCTTCCTGGCCTGTCCTAACTTGGGAATCAAAAGTATTTTCAGTGAGACACAAGCAGCACCATCGTGTTTGTCACTGGTCTTGACAGTAAATCAAATAACCATACCATAATTAATTGAGACTTAATTAGACTTAGAAGACATTTAGTCACACAGTTGCTAGCCCAGCTCAAGCATCCATCCACTCAAAGTCCAGAAGATAGGAAAACCAAAGCACAAGATTTTTCTGCAAAATAGGCAACTGATTCTGCAAAATAGGCAACTGATTCTGCAAAATAGGCAACTCATTAACCTTACTGTGTTGCCCATGTGACTCTCTCTCTCTCTCCAGTTTAGCCACATACTTGCTTCCTAAGTATGTGCATCCATGTGTCTATATATCATCAATAAATGAATCTGGGAAAATACTGAGAATCTAAACTTCAGACCGATTGGATCTGAAAGCTATTTTGAACAGCAGGGTCCACTGTAAGGTGTAACTCAAATGTGAGCAGGAACAGTAATTCAGGACTGATTTGAATGTAAAAAGATGTGTGCAGCTAGTGAGTAGCAGAAGTAGATCTGTTCAGGCTCTGGATTCCTGGCTTCTCATCAACTAGAGACAAGCGTGCTGGTGGACTACAGAGAGCTGCCTTCCAATAGTAGCAAAGAGCAGAGTATACAGCAAGTAATAAGCATGAAATCAAAAGTAATAGGCATGAAATCAGATCTCCAGTGGTTTAGGAAACACATCCTTTAAAGCAGGGGTAGTCAACCTTGGCTCTTTTATGACTCGTGGACGTCAATTCCCAGAATTCCTGAGCCAGCTGGGAGTTGAAGTCCACGAGTCATAAAAGAGCCAAGGTTGACTACCCCTGCTTTAAAGGGAGTACCATCTTCTGCACTACCACCAGTTAATTTGAAATACAGATAATCCTCGACTTACGGCCACAACTGAGCCCAAAATTTCTGCTGCTAAGCAAGACGGTTGATCAGTGAATTTTGCCCCATTTTACAAACTTTCTCCTCAACAGTTGTCAAATGAACCGCTGCAGTTGTTAAGTTAGCAACACGTTTTGTTAACTGAATCTGGCCCTCCCATTGACTCTGTTTGTCAGAAGGTCACAAAAGGGGATCCCGTGGCCCCGGGACACTGCAACCGTCATAAATGTGAACCAGTGTCTAAATGTTGATCTCGTGATCTTGCGGATATTGCAACGGTTGTCAGGTGCGGAAAAAAACGGTCGTAAGTCAACTTTTTTTTTTCCAGGGCCTTCGAACAGTCACTCAACAAGCTGTTGTAAGTTGAAGACTACTTGTACAGATTTTTATTTTCGTTATTGCAAGGCAGGTATGCTTTTTTTTTTTTTTTTTAAATGGCTCCTCTCTTTTTGCATCTCGGGAGCGTTGGCTTCCTACCTAAATTCAGGCAACAAATTCTTTATCACATGAAGTTGGACTATTTCCAGACTGGCTTAAGTAACCTTTTCAAAAGCATGGAACAACTGATCTGGGGCTTCGGCAGACTGTAAACACTCGAACTGTTTACTACTGACATCTGGGCAACATGAGGACACTGAATTTTATCATCCAAATATTATGACTAAGACATGGTTCAGACATGGTTCATTTGATTAGGTACCTCTCAAGATGGTCTCGTCAAAATAATCAAATGCGTATTGTGACAACACACTGCAAGCTCTGCCTCTGATTTGTCTGCGATGTTATGACGCAGAAGGTGTTGGCATTCTGACATTTTAAGGCTGTGGTACCCTTTTTGTCATTTGCTGCTTTCCATGTATAAAATATAACAGTAAGATTCAGGTAATACACTACATTCAAGTGAAACAAATCAGATTTTTGTCTCAGCATATATCTGAACCAAGCCAGTGTTTTAGTAACCAGTAAAATTTGTGTTACTTATCCCAAAACAAGTTCTAGTCTTAGGTACTTCGTCGGACGAGAATCCTGACACATCATTCTCGATGATATCTCTTCGTTTGATTATTTCACCCCCATTCTTGGCCAACAGACTTAAGTCTTCCGTCACAACATCACTTACCGACATAAAGTTACAAATCGTCGGATAATTTTCTCTCTCTCTCTGTTTTGAATACTTTTCAAAAACACACTTTCCACCAATACTTTAATAGTAGTCCTCAACTTACGGTCATAACTGAGCCTGCAAGCAGTTGGTAAGCGGATCATCACAACGTCTCATGCAATTTGATGACCTTTTTTTTTTGCGGTGGTTGTTAAGCAAACATGGGGATCATTAAACAAACCCATTGTTTGCTATGGAATGTTGTTTTTTTCTGGAAACCGGAATAAATGCTGGTTTCCAGCAAAAATGTACCAGACACAGGAGTGCGGGACGCTGAAAATGCCTGTAACTGAGGGCTGTTGGCCGAGTGCTCAAAATTCAGTCATGGGACCATGAGGGAACTTCAAACTGTAGTCACAAGTACCTTGGGGGGAGGTCTGTTATAATTTCAATCTAGCCATAAATCGAGGATTACCCTTATACAGTAAAGCTCAGGATAAAGAACATTTATCTTACCCAATCTTAACGCCACACAAAAAGCCCAAGAAAGATTTTAAACAGGAAGAACCGAGGTTACACATCTACATACTTGCATCCAAACCTCTTCCATAGAAACCAAATCAAATCAATTAAATTGGATCAAAAATTCAAAGTTTTTGTGTAATCAATGAAATGGAGGATATGGCTTTTAACCACTGTCAATGCTTCATATAATTTTTTTAAAAATGTTCCGCTTACAAATTAATGCGGTAGGCTTGGGATTAATTAATTATACTTAGTTTCTACGACAATTTGGCCAAACGAAACAAAAACGGGGAGGGAGGAAGGGGGAGGAAAGGAGGGAGAAGGCTTTTCACACAATACTTAAGTTTTAGGAAGTGGAAAAGTAAATATTCACCTCCCAAAGAGGCTCCACCTGTAAGAACAGAAGTTGCACCATGTTGTTGTAATATGAAAGTTATGACATGAAAACAAAACACCATTAGCATGAAATGGAAATTAAACAATAATGCCTTGTGTGTCTATTCAGAAACCAGAAAGTCCTTGGGTATTCATTTAATAACTCCTTAAAAGGCTGAGAAATTCTCTGTTTCTTTTCTCCTTGGATTCCATCTCAGAAATGGAGAATCGGATTAATCTGCTCTTACTGCCCGCACGAAAACAGGCTAAGCCGAGGAGAGATGGAACAACCAGGTTCCTTCAGTTCCAGGGTGCTGGGGGTCTTTATTCTACCTGCTGAGGAAGCATGAAATCTCCAGGGGTTACCATGAAACCAGAACGGACTGGCAGGAAAGGATTTTATTTCTCAGCCAGCCTTTTTATCCCCTGCCTGGGACTTATCTGCAGTGGCAACTGAATCCAATAATTAAAGATTATTAAATCTATATTTATTGAGCCTCCTTAATTTGCATTACCCTTAGATTGGGGTTAGGTGAGATTTGAGGTTTTTGTGCAAGTCCCGCTGAACTCAACAGGGGATCTTTAGAAGCATAAACATACTTCCAGATGAGTTCTGGATACAGGGCTGTTCCCAAAGGTGCTTTTGTTTGGATGGCAACTGGACTTTCCGATTTTCCTTTCAGACATTTCGCTTCTCATCCAAGAACTGAAGAAGGTATAATAATAATAATAATAATGATGATGATGATGAAGTTGGAAGGGACCTTGGAGGTCATCGAGTCCAAACCCCTGCTCAGGCAGGAACCCCACACCATTTCGGACAGATGGCTGTCCAGTCTCTTCTTAAAAACTTCCAGTGTTGGAGCATTCAGTGCTTCTGGAGGCAGGTTGTTCCACTGGTTAATTGTTCTAACTGTCAGGAAGTTTCTCCTTAGTTCTAGGTTGCTTCTCTCCTTGATTAATTTCCATCTGTTGCTTCTCGTCCTGCCTTCAGCCGCCTTGGAGAATAGCTTGACTCCCTCTTCTTTGTGGCAGCCCCTGAGATATTGGAAGACTGCTATCATGTCCCCCCTCGTTCTTGCCAAAAGTCTTAAAGAAAAATCTGAAAGTCCAGTTGCCTTTAGAATAAAAGCACCTTTGGGACAACCAGGACCTGCACAAATGAGAACCTCCAGAGAGTTAGTTAGAGAGAGTAAATTAGATGCACAACTACACATTCATGCTTTAAAAAATATCTGTAGTAACAAGCTTGAATGAAATATTGAAATATTTTTTCAACTTGAGATTGCATTTTTAAATTTGCCAGACTTCTTTTCTAGTTTTTATTATATTATTGTTGTTGTTGTTGTTGTTGTTGTTAATAATAATTTATTTTTGGGGGAGGTGTTATTAGCCAAATTACACTTTCCAATTCTGAAAAAGAATCCACAGAGTTTCTTACAATAAATAACACAGATTTAGGCCCATGTGCACATATGGTATGCCTTTTCATGTAAACAAAATGCAGAAAGAATTCTTTAACATAGCTTCTAATCTAAAATTAATTCAATAAAGACGTATTCTTATGAATACTTAACTGGGAGCTTATCCCATTTAATACACTGGAACTTTCAAGCTATCAGGCATAGGACTGCAAACTAAATTTAACCATTTATTTAATTGTTTACTGCTAGAACACACAAAAAAAAGAACCAAAAAAAACCCCTAAACAAAAAACAAAAATAAGCAGTGGATGTAAAAATTATATCTGGATTTATAAAGAAAATATGTTCAACTACAGAGGCTGAGGATTGAAAATTTTAAATTCATGTTTCCTCACCTCAGAAAAAAAATTAAACAAACTTACCGTTTAGACTTCCGGGAGTAGCTACAGTGTTGCTCTGTTTTTGGTTATCATATGCAGGACCAATATTAGCAAGGTCCTAAAAAGAAAGCAAAGGATATTTCTTTAAACAAGCAAACAAACATTTCAGTCGCTTTTCCAATTCGCAACTGTTTCAATTAGTTAAGATTTGAAAGCTACCAACAAACCCCATATCTTAAGAGTTCCTATTCTCTCAGAAACGAATGCCACTATGTGATGGAATTTTCCCCCAGTAAATTCTACAGCAGACAAAAAGGGTCTGTTGTTAGGTGCGAACAACTTCAATCATTCCAAAAAAGTAGCATCCTGCTAGTGAGCCAATGACTGAACAACAACAAATAATTTTCCAGCAACAGTTTGAGAGGTTAACCTTTGCTGAGGGAAAGAAATAGCCTATGTGAGCTTGTCTTCCCCCAGGTTTCAAGGAAAGACATTTTGGCAGAAGCCAGAGTAGTGTCCAACTCCCTACCAGTCAAAGGTGTTGTTGTTGTTAGTTGCGAAGTTGTGTCCGACCCATCGCGACCCCATGGACAACGTCCCTCCAGGCCTTCCTGTCCTCTACCATCTTCCGGAGTCCATTTAAGCTCACGCCTACTGCTTCAGTGACTCCATCCAGCCACCTCATTCTCTGTCGTCCCCTTCTTCTCTTGCCCTCCATCTTTCCCAGCATCAGGCTCTTCTCCAGTGAGTCCTTCCTTCTCATTAGGTGGCCAAAGTACTTGAGTTTCCACTTCAGGATCTAAAGAGCAGTCGGGGTTGATCCCCTCTAGGACTGACTGCTTTGATCGCCTTGCAGTCCAGGGGACTCGCAGGAGTCTTCTCCAGCACCATAGTTCAAAGGCCTCCATTCTTTGGCGCTCGGCCTTTCTTATGGTCCAACTTTCACAGCCATACATTGCAACTGGGAAAACCATGGCCTTGACTATACGTACTTTTGTTGGCAGGGTGACATCTCTGCTTTTTAGAATGCTGTCTAGATTTGCCATAGCTTTCCTTCCCAGGAGCAAGCAACAAAGGTGTTGCTTCTGCTCAAATGGCTACTTTTCTCTCCCCCCCCCCCCCCAAACTGTAATCTTCTGGGTTATATTTGTCCAACTGGAACTTCCCTACCTTCCTGGAACCTTCCATCACTCAGAAAGAGTCCAAATTCAAAGTCTTACTTGGTATGATCGATATTTACCCTGTCATGAAATTTTGCCAGCATGCTAGAAGATGTTCTGTATCATCGACGTACCTGGTCTAAGAGTCCAAATTTGGGGTAATCTTCTTCCGGATCTTTGCTACCTGGATCCGGATGCTCTTTCACCAAAAACACATCTCTTTCTTTACACTAGAATGAAGCATTCAAACAAGATCGATTCAAACAATTCAAACTCCTTATTCAGAGAAGATCAAATGCTAGTCATAGGGTCAAAAATTGAATAATATAAGCTTTTGTAGTTCAGTGAGAACTACAAAACAAAACGGATTAACTCGTCTACTCACCAATGCATTTTCTCTCCATTTGTAATCAAATTTGATCAGTAAGAAAAATATCAGCGTTGCTCATCTTGACTTACCATTGTTTTTACAATATTGTTTGGCCAAGTCATTTTTCCTGGTCTTTGCCTTGTTGTCATACATTCCCAGTACTTATCAATAAAGGGTATAATATCCTATTAGGGAAAAAAATCAAATATAATGATGACAAGGAAGTTCACAGCCAAGGCAGTTTACCAAGTTTAACCAATCACTTACGACAGGAGTGTCAAACTCAATTTCATTGAGGTCCGCATCAGCATTGCGGTTGCCCTCAGGGGGCTGGGTGGGTGTGGCCTACTAGGTGGGCATGGATGGAGTGGGTATGGCCAGCTCTACATCGTTCGCGTCAAGGGGGCCTGTGGGGGCCTGGGCAGGAGTGGGACAGATCTGAGGGTCTCTGGCAGAAGGGGGTGGGACCAGGGCAAGTGCCAAGGCATGGTCCACTGGAGGAGCCTCACTGTTCCTCTCAGGCCATGCGGGGGGGGGGGGGCCTATGGAGCTAAGACTGAATGCATTTCAGCATAGATGGCCACCACAAAATTGTACATTGGCTCCCGGCTGGCTTGGGCCAGGGCCAAGGCAGAGGGGGCCATTCCCTCACTGTTTCCAGGATGGCTTCGCGGGCCACATGAAACCACTTCGTGGGCCGCATCCAGCCCCCGGGCCTTATGTTTGACATGTCTGACCTACGATATGGCTAGACTTTTTATTATAAAAGATTTATTTATAAAAGATTTATAAACAGTGTTAAGCTTTATGCACTGAAGCAAACTGAAAGCTAAAACATATGA